GCAATTTGAAGGTAGGACTTATTAAATTTGTTTTATCTAAAATTATTAGAATTATTTGGTTGAGTACAAAATAAAATCTGGAGAGATTTTTTTTTTTTTTGAAGTAAAATGCATTCAGTATAAAATGAAAATAATGTTGCCCGTCAACAATGGGGCCACAACAATCTGTTAAGGTGGCGGGGTTGGGTTGCAACGACAATGATGGGTGGTGGGTAGCGGTGGGTGGTTGCTGATCGTGGATAGCTGACAGTGAGTGGCCAGTGGCACGAGGTGGTAGTGGGCAACAATCTCGAGCGGAGAGTGAAGCTTCTCTTATGTCATGTATTTGGAATCTGATCTAATTGATTTCCAAATACATTAAAAATGATTTAAAGAGAGTGATTATTATGTAGCTTATAATGTAAGTGTCATTTAAATATAAAAGGAATGTTATATAAAGAAATAAGGGATGAGTCCTCTTCTTCTTTGGAGAGAGTGACTAACATGCCTTAGTCTATGAATTGAGAGAGAATGTAGGATTATACAACCAAAGAGACAAAGGATTCAAGAGCTTCTTTAATTTGTTCTGCTTATAATAGGTTTCTCCATTAATAATGTTGTATATTTACTTTCTTACTCCACATAAGATCTATATTACACTTCTATTTCACTCTATGCGGACCATTAATATGAAAGTCGCACTCCATCAATAATAAATGGGCATAATAATGAAAATGTTGAATATACAAATTTGATAGCAAATTTTTGAATCATATCAATTAGTAAAGAAAGAGTTCTTGTAGGTAAGATGATTATTCATTAGATAAATATATTAAGCCTTCTTTCAATATGAAGCATCAACCCTTCAAGATAGAGGAAAATACCAACACCTTACCTTTGACAAAGTGATTATAACAAAAAATATTAGATTCTTAAGTTTTCTTATCTAGAAACCTACTTTAGTTTTATGGGCATTCTTCCTAAGGGAAGGTGTCATTTGCATAAGAAAAGCTCAACAAAGAACAATTTGACTTGGTGGTTTAATATATTAATAGCAAGCATTTTCATGTTATTGAAGTATACAATAGTGTTGTATCAAAGCATAATTGTACGATACCCTTTCTCTTCTTTGATAGGGTCCTTAGTTAAGCATGTTGGTTGAGAGAAATAACAAGAATAAGAATGACACATCTCCTATCAGGCTATCAATAAGAAGAGAAATGAAATCAAAGCTACCACAAAGAAGAAGTGGAACTAAAAGAGTTCTAATATAGGTAATTCTAGAAGAGCATTACTATATCATGATAAATAGTAATGGTTTGTGTTGAAATCTTCATCTATAACAACTAAACAAAAATATCAAACAAAGAAGAAGGAAGATACAATTGTTAACTATGATCAAGTTTTTTAGTAGTTAAACTTGTAACCTACTTAGACTTTGGAAATGTAAAATATTAAGGAGATGGTCCTTTCTTTCTGACCATCCAAAGAGTAAAAAACCTTAAAATCCTTTGAAGGAGGGGTTGGAAATCAGGTTGATGCAACCTCTTAGTGAAAATAGGCAAGATAAGATATTTAATAAGACTTTGGGAATGTAAAATATTAAGGATATTTTAAATAAATATATCCTCAAGAGAGTTTTTAGAAAATCCAATAGAGCTTTTATCACAATTAACATGAAGATCAGAAGTAGCAGCAAATTGTTGTGAAATAGCATTAAGGGTGTTAGCATTATCCGTAGAAGCTCTGCCAAGCACAAGTAAATCATCAACATATAGAAAGTGAGAAATTTAAATGTTACTAGCATCCATCCTAATAAATATGTTATTATAAATCTCCTAATCAAATAAAACCGAGAGGGCATCGATAACAATGTTAAATAAATAAGGAGAAAGCGGGCTGCCCTTTCTAAGACCATATGGTGAGTTTAAGATACCTTCCAGAGTGTCATTTATGCAAATAGAAAAGTGGACATCCATAATGCAGCCTTTAATCCAATAAATGAAAATACTAGGGAAACCTTTAGGAGCAAGGCAATCAAGTAAAAAAATCACTAGATACAATGTCAAAAGGCCTTATGAATATCAAATTTTACACAAAAAACTTTTTCTTAGCATCATAATTGAATTCCCCCAATAAATTAGCAACAAGAAGAATATTATCAGTGATGACCCTCTTGTGAATGAACGCAGCTTAGCTCAAGTTAATGATAAAAGGCATAACATGTTTCATCTTGTTGGCAAGAATCTTTGCCATGATTTTATAAAAAAATATTGCATAATGAAATAGGTCTGAAATCAATAATGTTCACAGCATGAGCTTGTTTAGAAATTAAGGCAACAGTAGTTGCATTTGCTTGCTTGGGTATATAGCCAATAGAGATAAAATCCAACACTGCATCACAAAGTTGCCTACCAATAGTGTTTCGAGTAGACTTATAATATTCAAGTGTGTAACCGTCTAGGCCAAGTGGGAGTAGAGAAGATGATACATTTAATTTCATCCATAGTTACAAGAGACACAAGAGATTATGAGAGATGAGAAGGGATGGTGCTTCTAGCATGAATGGGAGTGTTGCCTTATGGGATTGAATGTGGGGAATTAAATAGGTTTCTAAAGTGTTTCACAATAGCCATATTAATGTCTAAAGTAATATTAAAGACTTCTGCATAAGTGTAAATATCCTTAATCAAATTGTCATTATGTATAGAATATATTTTATAATCAAGAAACTTTAGATCATCCTCCCTATTTGTGAGCCAATTAGCTTTAGGACACTGCATAATCCAATCTGATCAAGAAGAGTGGCAATTAGAGAGCTTTAGATTAATATTCATCAAGGCAGTATTCAACTGAGGGTCTACATGATTGTTTTGAATTTGAGAGAGGCAAGAGAGTTGCAAAGAAGAAAGCTTCTCTAATTCCTTATGAAGCAAATTGTAAGAGGCCCAAGGTTTAGGCTTAATGAGCTTCTTAAGCGATTTCAGCTTGTAATAAAAAAGAGGCAATAGGACTGTCATTGTAATACTAAGTGAAGGTTGTCAGAAAATTCTCCCAAAAGTTTGAATTTTTTGACTAATAATTATTGTTTAAAATCTATGTTTTTTAAAGGTTTCAGTAGAAAAAAGCATAATAATAGGGGAGTTGTCAAAATACTGAGGATCATCGACTTTGTAAAAAGAGCAAGGGAAAGAATCCAAACAGACATCATTAATAACAACTCTGTAAAGCTTAATGTGGATGTGATTGTCAATTATTTGGTTATACCAAGTATAAAAATGACCAACTGAAAATAAGTGATGAGCAGCAATATTGAATATCATATTGTTAAAGTCACCTAACTTGCTATTTTGAAGAAAATTCCCACCATTCTTTTCATGGCTAAATCTACAACAATTGAAGTCCCCTAGGATAGTCCAAGGAATATAAATATTCCCAACCAAATCAATAATCTATTTCCAAACTGCTGCCTTTCATCAAAAAAGTTTGAAGCATACACAATAGTGCCATAAACTAACTAATCAGAGGTATAAAGAGGCCAAAATCAACTTTACCAACATTCCATTTTATTTTGATGAGGCTAAGGCGAGAAAAAGAAAATTATCATAGTGCGCTTCCTGATTGATGATTCTATGGGAAGCTTGGAACAAGTGGTCAAAGGCAGAAAGGGGAGAGATATTTGCTTCCAAAATAAATAAAAAATCCAAGTTTTCCTATTAACAAAGTTCTTATACATATATATATATATAATACCTAAAATATTAATATTTTATTACTACAACCCAAAGACAATTTTTACCTCAAATATACCACACCATCTTTCCCGAAGCTCACGACGTCACCCGCTAAAATCTCCATTTTTGCCAGTTATTATCTTTCAGTGAAGAAGGTGAGTACGCATTTGAAAGAAACTTATAGTTCACATCTTGTCAGCTCTCTTCCAGTAGTTGTGCTCTTAATTTGGGAAGAGATGATAAAAATGTGTAGCTACTAAAATAGATTTTCTTGCTGATTTATGTGTTTATCAGCTTTAGTGGGCTTGTGGTGATGCAAAATTTGAACCACAAATTTTATTTAGAATAGCCTTCTAAGAAGTGTCCAAATTCAAATTTTGATATATTTGTCCCATGAAAAAACATTAGAATTAAGAAGGTTAGTGAGAGAAAGTATTACGTCGCTAAGAGCACATGAAAAATCTAATAACTTACTGATTACATGCTAGGAACATGAGAAGTCAGTAGGAGAAAGAGGTTCAAGAACAGAGCATGGAGGAAAACCATGCGAGGAGAGGAGCGCAGGAAGAGGATTTTACCGTGAGAGAGAAGTTCTGAAATAGAGCATGCAGGAAGAGCATGTAAGGAGAGGAGCGCAATAAGAAGGATTTCCGTGGGAAGGAGAGGAGCGCAATAAGAGTGATTTCAGTGGGAAAAAGACTGAGTGAGGTTGAGAGGAGACAGTGATATATTTGAGGTTAAAATTGTGTTTTGGGTGATATAAATGAAATATTAATGTTATGTGTTAGATATGTAAAATAACTGTTATATAATGGGTATGTATATAAATTTCCCAATTTAAAATTGAAGCATTACACAAACGCCATCAGATCCACAACATACATACAAGCAGTTGATGGCTATGGTGGCCGACAGCGGGTGGAGGCGGCGGCGGCGGAGGCGGCGACGACCGATGGTGGTGATGGCTGGTAGGGGGGTGGCGATGGTGGTTGCCGGAGGTGGGTGGCGGTGACGGCTGGTGGTGGGTGGTGTACGACGGGTGGTGGCGGTGGTCAAATGAACTTGGTTGTGCTGTAAACAATTCTCACTCATAACAGGACGAGTTTAATTTACTTCAAAATGAACTAAAACTATTTACACTATATTTACTTTGTTCAACTTTGTATTTAAATCAAACACCAAAAATTTTAAATTCCTTTATTTAAAATATTTTACACAACTTTATATTCTGACCAAACAGCCCTTAAACTCAAATTCAAAGTAAAGCCCGAGTAGACTCGTTCCCCACCCCTATTTGCGTTACAAGAACTGAATGCCCAACTTTTATTTCACAGGCCTCTTTGCATCGAGTACTTTCCTCGTTTTCAACCTTGCCGCCCGTATCATTCCCTGCTTGCCTCCGTTAGAGATTTGTGTGTACGCTGTCCGGTGCCGCCATTCAAATTCTCTACCAGGTTTAAATCCTAGCAGCGATGAAGCGAGGAGCGAAACGCGCTGCCATTTCTGATTCCAGCATCGATCCCACCGATGTCCGTGTACTTCTCCATCACCCGTCCTCCTGCTTTTACCTCTCATTTCGGGTTCTTGAATACCCTAGCTTTCACAAGGCTTCTTCTGTTTTCCGCTCTCGTTTGATAGTTCGTTGGACTGTAGGGAACTATTTTGATGATTGTCTTAGGGTTTAAAAGACGAGGCCTGGATCATTTTCGAGGTTCTCATTGCGTCGGAAGAGAAAGAAGTAGTTTGGTGTTTGTTTGAAGGAGGTGTGAGATAGTTGATTTTGATTATTGTGTATGATTCTGTTGTGCTGCTTATTTCGCTGTTCTTGAAGCATTTGGGAAGAACCTAGATATGGGGTCGGAAGCTGGATACCGTATAAACATGAACTGGGTTGAAGAACGTTAATGCTTGTGGCAGTTTGGCCTTACAACTATAATACACCGTATTTTGGATATAGGACGCTTTTAATTGTTCCGGAAAATAAAAATTATTGGTTAAATCATTCAGAGGCAAATCTTTGTATGCAATTTCTTCTCGATTAGCTTTTAAATGTAGTTCATTTATATTTTCCTTCGTCCAAATTTTTTTTGGCCTTTGGTGGATTATGGAGCCTGTTTCCTACTTTCTTTCTTACATCAGCTGATGCTCAAGATCAGAATTCAAATTATTTTCTTTTTCGCATTGCTTGGTCGTTCCATGCTCAACGGAGTTCATAAGCAGGCTATGCTAATAATAAATACTTATTAATTTTTATTAGATGGTCAAGCCTTTTCTTCTTCATAAATGGAATTGAATTGAGGTTGTCCGTGTGAAGTTGTCATATTGACCTTCTTCTTAAATCATGCAGTTACGATGTAAGAGAGTAATGGAGGCACCATCTTTTGGTAATCACATTGCCGAATCTTCCCATCAAGATGTGAGGGAAAGATCACCTTTAGATGTTCAACGGGCAAACCTATCATTGCAGCATGTGAGGGCTCTTAACACACAATTTGCAAGGTTGACGTTTTTCTTGTATTTGTTTTTACTTTTTGACTTTTAACCTTTGTAGATATGTCCCTTGCACACTTATGCTTATACACTTAACAGTCTTACTTTTTCTTCAACTGCTCTAATCTTTGAAGCACGAATACTGACACGAGATAGAGATATGACGCAAATATCAGGATATGACATAATCATAAAAAAGTAGGGCACGATATGCCATGAACACTATATATATTTTTTATAAATTTTGTAATCAAAACACCTAATGTTAATATTTTCTATAAAAAATAATCATATAATGAAGTGTAATATGATATATATCACATAAAAAGCTTAATTATTGATAAAAAAAAACTAATATTAGTTTCATTATAGTTATATTTCAATATTTCATTAGTTGTACTTAATTGCCAATAATATAAGCACTTATCATTAGACATTATCTTGATATCAATATTGTATTGTCCATATTGAATGTTAAAAATCCCAAAAAAGAATATGTATATTTTAAAATAATCATATATAATATGAGCAAATTGATTTATGACTACTAGATGTCCTTTTATTTAATTTTGGTAACTATACTCTTAGCATTAGTCAATGTCATCCAATTGAAAGGAATACCTATTGAACAGGAGTTGGTTTCTTCTTTCTTTTTTATTGATTTGTTGAAATATTGAAAACTTAACGCACTAACAAAATATTTTTTTCATTATTTCTTGAACAAAATTAATTCAATTTCAGATGCTCCTTTGCTAGTTTTTTTTTTAATTGTCCTTTTTCATTGCTGATAAATCAATATCTAAATATTGTATGCCTACAATTTGAAATTATGATCTTTCTTCTTACATTTATGCAGTTGGGTCCAATCACAACTACAAAATCATCTTGATGAATTATGGATAGATGGTGTCAAGGACTATCAGTCTCATGCTTCAAATATCTTGGTAATACTGTTTTCCATGCTTTTCGATTCATGTGGTTTTTAGCATTCCTTCATTTAAATTGTGGTGTAAACTTTTTCTTTATGTTTATTTTACATGTTCTTAAGGTCCTTTTTTTTGTTAATGAAGGGTTTATTTACATTTTCAGGGCATTGAATATAGCTATTAGTTTGTGTCTTTTAGAGTTTTGAGAAAATGGTACTGAGTAGCATGGAATTTCATAGGGAAGATTAGAATAAGGCCCCAAAGATTTCCCCTTGCTAGGTGATGAAACTAGGTAAGGTATTTTTTAATTTTGGGGATTGGTGTTTACTATGGATGCAAACTTCCATGGTTAATTATATATCAGGCTTGATGATGCTTGAGTACGCTCTTGATTAAATGATATCATCGTTCTTTGGATTGGTGATTGGAAGCTAGGTTTATATTGATGTATTGGATGGGGATCAAGGATCGAACTTGATCAATTTCCCATGATTTTGCCATTCAAAGTCAATCTGGTGGACCCGATCCACCAATGATGGAGTATTGAAAGATCTAATTGTCCATAGATATTGATTATCAGCCATAAGTTGACCCCTATCAAATATCCCAGGTTGATCTGAGTGGTAGCATGTCATAAGATGCATCCTTTCAAAATGTGGCCCAAAGTTTATTTTAGATAGAAAAGTCCTGAGGGGACTAATAAGTCTAGTTGTTATTTAGAGGTTGAAGGGAAACCATCTAAAGTAATATGCTTTGCTACAGATTCATACAAGCAATAAGCTTGGAAGCAAGGTGCTTGGCTGAGTGCAGTGTCATGATTGTTTCTCTTGGAGGCATTGAGATGACCAGTTCAATTGTTTAAGATAATGTTAGACGCACTCAAGAGAAATACATCTTATGGTACATAGGGTAAGGTTTGTATGCTATGTGGCATCTTTGTTGCGAGACTCGATTCTTAAAGTTCTATTCCTTGATGCAGAATTTCACCTCTGTGTTAGCGGGCTGACTTTTGTATCCATAGGTTGCCTCAAGTAAGGGGTTATGAGTTGGAGCAAATTAGCTCACTTCAAAACTTTGCCTCAAGCATGGGAGTTAACTGTGTCCACTTTGGTGGGTGTAGTACTCACCTAAGAAAGTGAATTTCAATAATATTAGGAAAGCTTAAGCTTCTTTAGATATTGAGCATCCCAAAAAGTAAGCATTATAGGGTTATGTCTCAACTTGGAGATGTGCATGAGAGTATGGGAACATGGCTCAGCACGATGATGTAGATGGGACTATTGGGATTATCTGCTCGACCCAAAGATGTAGATTGGACTTGTAGGCTTATGACCTAGTGTCAGGATGGTGGAGTTTATGTTTCTTTCATATAAAAAATCCCTAAGGAGATAAGTTGATAATTCTTTGAAGGTTCAAATCAACTTCATGACACAGGATAGTTCTTGTGACCTTGCACTATAGATGAGGTGGCTCGAAAAATTTACAACATAATTTGCCTTGAAGGATTTGTGTAAATGCGAGGCTGAATATCTTTGTGAATCTTGAGTACAATTGCATGCCTCTTTTTTATGTTCATTTCAAGTTAGTTTAGCATAAAGGATTTGCTAGACATTTTGACATCATTTTTGTGTCACCTTTATAAAGGGGTAGTAGAAATGGGCCATCTCATCATGCCAATTAAGACTATTTAATTATGGTGCAGTAGGCACCATGACTTAGAAAATCCATCCCACTATACTAATAAAGGCGCATAGGGGCATTTGAGTGTTCTTATAAATCATCCATCTTTAATAATGATGCTTAGCTCATTTAAGAGTGTCTGCAGGTGAAAATGCAATTTATGTTGGAGTGAATATATGAAGCGCCGACTCTTCTAAATGGCTCATGCAATATTAATTTTGCTAATGATGGATAATTGAAGCAACTTATTGCATATGCATAGTCGTTTTCAAATGAACCAATCCCAATGCTACTATAAATTCTAAGCTAGCTAAGTTTTGTGGATTGGGTCAATTTCAGTGTGGTTTATCTGAGAAATTAGTTTTTTCTACCTATGACTAGTATTATTAAATATAGTGGCACCGAACTTGTGCAATCACCCTACAACTTCTTTAAATTGAGTAGTTAAACAAATTTTATGGTAGAATATTGTTCAACGATAAAATTCAAATAAGAAAATTATGTGGTCATTACATGAGGCTTCCACCAACGCACAACTAGAGAAGGCTTGATGTACACATTCTTATCCATAGATGTTGATACCATCTATAATAAATTATGAACTGATATGTATTTAGATGCATTATATTGTCGACTTTAGATTGTGAATACTTTAATATTGAAAGACCCTCATAGAAGTATCATGATTCAACTTCCATCAACCCATATATGTTAGTATAAAATGTTTTTGATTTGTTTGGGTTGGTCTTTCGAAGCCAAAATAGATTTAATTGATATGCAGTACTCTATGATGCACCGACACGCCTCTTAAAGAGGGTATTCAGTGTCGGACACGTGTCGGACACGGACACGCGTTGGATATCCAATCAATGAAGAGGAATAAAATAACTCCACAACGTGCTGAAGATTTAGTTTATGTACATACAAATATTCGTCTTCTATCAAGGAAAACCCCACTTTATATGACTGGTGATAACAAGATGTGGGATGTTGCTGGAGATGGGTTCGAGTGCCTTGATGATATGGGATTATTGGAGGTTGCAAATCTTTCTCTAGATGAACCAGAGTTGGAAGCAATGATATTCAATGATGATGATATTGAAGGCCAAAGACCAACATCTGAATCTAATTTTATCATTCCCTCTATTGAGTAGTTAGACCTTCATGTTGTATTAAATGATTTTTTGCTTATATTTTTGTGTTTGTACTTTGTACTAGACATTTTGTACTAAACATCTTTATGTTATAAGCTAAACAAGTTATCATGAATTGATTTATTATTGCTTGACATTTTTACTATAATGTCACCTTAATTTTTATATATTATATTAAAAAATTATTATGCCGTGTCCACGCCGCACCCGTGTCCTATACAACAACAACATCAAGCCTTTATCCCAACAACAACACCCGTGTCCTATATTTTTAAAAATTGCCGTGTCCCGTGTCCGTGTCGTGTCGTGTCCGTGTCGCCGTGTCTGTGTCGGTGCATCATAGGCAGTACTATATGAAAATATCATTGCCCATTTACTGGTGGAAATGGACCAAGGAAGTCCATTCGCTCAAATTGGATGACTGCAAGCTACTTAAAATTGGAGATTTTATGAATGTATATTTGATTTTCTATCAATGAATTAGATCAAACCATGTTTTCTTGCTTCATCAAAGGATCAGATCATGCCCTAGGATTTTGGGTTAATTTTGAGCTAAATTGAGCTGACCTACTCAATCTATGACCCTGCTTCTGAATGATTCTATCATGCCTACTTTTTATTATTGTTTAGATCACATTTAGTGTTATGTTTTTCATTGAATATTTTTCATTATTTTTCTTAGATTCAGGTCTACGGAATGCACATATTTGTTTTTGTAGCTATTGGTGCATGTGTTTGGATTAGCTTTGAATTGCATTTTCCTATTAAAGATATTTATGATGTCGGAGAGTAACATTGTCAGAAGTTATATAAATGTTAAAACTTTTCAATCATATGCGGGTTACATCACATAAAAGATAACATCAAATTCACCTCCTTTCATATTGGTGATAGAGATGCTTACAAATGATCTTTAAAATTGAATAATTTGTGTATTTTATTTTTGCCAAATTTGTAGTCTTGATGAAAAATATATCTTTATAATTGATAGTTTTAAACAATGAAGGATTTTTGTTAGCTGGGCAAAGTTTAGTAGAATTGAGCACTTGATACGTATTGTTAGTGTTTTAGAAATTTATAATTGTTTGAAATTGATTACTATGAGAGTATAAGATACTTGCAAAAGTTATTGGTCAACATTGAGTTTGTGGATGTTCGTTGGCTATGGAGATGCCTAAAAGATATTCATATGGAGGCAATACATGTATGTTATTTATATATTATATACTTCTGATTGAAAAGATTTTAGATAAGTGAAAGTTTGAGTAAAGGTCAAATTTTTTTGAATAGGCTTGGCTTTTGTGGAGCAATGAATATTGAATAGATGATGTTAACCTTATAGGATGTTAAATAATAGTTATTGGTTAATATTGTTGGCAAACATTGTCATGGCTAGGTCCCAAGTCGTGGATGAGAAAAGTGGAGGGTTACATTAGCTAATCGATGACCACTGCAAAACTTGTTGAATAATCATGTCATGAATACTTTAATACATTATGTTAATGCTAAGGTGTTTCTTGGAAGCTACGTGCTGTATGTTCTGAATACAATGAAAAATGTGCAAGAAACGGTGCATCGGCGCTTGGATGCAGTGTTAAATATGCAAGGGTTCCCACATCATCGATGGATTTAGGCAAAGAAGCTAGTCCGTGAAACTAAAATTAAGTTAGAATATTGGATTGTAAGTTTCTTTACATGTAAATTAATGGAATTAATTGATGATTCATAAGAAGAGAAATATTCTATATGCATTCAAGAAACTAAATGGATGTGAGAGAAGGCTAAGGAGAATTATAATTTAGGGTTTAAACTTTGATATTTTGGTATGAGTCATACCAGAAATGGTGTATGCATGATTATAGATAAGAGTTTGAAAGATAATATTATAAAAATTAATAGAATTGGAGATTGAAGTATAGTTTTGAGGATTATTGTTGTTGATAAGATTATTAATATTATAAGTGTTTATGTTCCTAAAGTAGTTTTGGATATATGGTCAAAATTAAAATTTTGAAATGACTTAGAAGAATTAATACAAAAGATACCTCTTAAAAAAGAATTTTTATTGAGAGAGATTTAAATAGACATGTTGGTATAGAGATAGATGATTTTAAAAGCATTCATGATGGCTATGAATTTTTAGCGACTAATGAAAGTGGTAAGACTGTATTAGATTTTGCGATAGCTTATTTAAGAAAAGAGATGGACATCTCATCACTTAAAAAAATTGATATATTAAAATTCAAATTGATTATTTTATCCTAAGAAAAATATATCGTTTAGATAGCAAAGATTGTAAAGTTATTTCGAGTGAAAGTTTATCTACCCAACATCACTTATTAGTTTTGGAATTTAAGATGTAGGAGCATAATATGAAAAATGTAGTAGATCGTTGTTTTAGGATTAGATGATGACATTTAAAGAACTCTAACAAAAATATCTTTAAGAGTAAGATTCACAATCTCAAAATTTTGTCGGTGAATGAGGAAGCTTATGTTATGTGGGAAATTGTAGCTTGTAATATTAAGAATGTTGTAAAGGATATGCTTGGAGTATAAAAAAGAAAAGCTTCTAATAGTAAAAATAATTCGTGGTGGAATCAAAATATTAAAAAAAAGATAAAAACTAAGAAGTTTTGTTATAAAAATTGGTTTAGATGTAAGAAAATTGAAAATTGTGAAAGATATAAAGATGCCCTAAGGAGTCAAAAAAATAATTTGAGATGCAAAGATTTTAGCTTTTAATGATTTATATAATATATTAGATATTAAAGATGACGAAAGATGTATGTATAAGCTAGCCAAACAAAGAGATATGAGTAGTAAGGATTTAATTCAAGTGAAGTGCATTAAGGATGAAGATCAAAAATTATTTTTTTTATAAGAGGATATTCAACAAAAAAGGTGGATTAGATATTTTGGTAAGCTTTTCAATGAATATTGTGAAAATACGATTGAATTTAGTGATCTTAGCAACTCTAAATGAAAATAGAGACTTATTTTTATCGGCATATTACTAGAATTAAAGTTAAAGAGGTTTTAAAGAAAAAGAATTGTGGGAACACTGTTGAACTTGATGATATTCAATAGAGGTGTGGAAATGTTAGGTGATAAAGAAATTTCCTAGCTTACTAAACTTTTTAATATTATTTTGAAGACTAAAATGATTCAAGATGTGTGGAGGTTGAGTTTGTTGATTTCTATTTTTAAGAAAAAGGGGGTTCCCAAGATTGTGCGAATTATAAAAGAATTAAGTTGATGTGCCATACTTTAAAACTTTAGGAGAGAGTTATGGAGCATAAGTTATGATGTGATACTAATGTTTCTCAAAATCAATTTGGATTCATGCCGGGTAGGTTTATTATGGAAGCCATAAATTTATTGAGAGGTTTGATGGAGAAGTATAGAGAGAATAAGGAGGATCTACATATGATATTTATTGATTTGGAGAAAGCATATGATAAAGTTTCAAGAGAAGTGCTATGGAGAGTTCTAAAAAAGGAAGGGGTTAATAATGCTTATATTTAAGTCATTAGGGATATGTTCAAACACAAGATGGCTTGACCAAGTATTTTCCAATTTCAGTTGGATTACATCAAGGATAAGCCTTAAGCCCATATTTTATTTGCTTTAGTCATGGATATTCTTACTAGAGATTTGCAAGAGGATGTTCCTTGGTGTAGGCTTTTTGCTGACGATATTCTTCTTGTTGAGAAGACTAAAGACGGTGTTTAAGGTAAACTTGAATTATGGATGTCAACCTTAGAGTCTAAAGGTTTTCGTTTGAGTAGATCTAAAACTAAATACATGGAGTGTAATTTTAGTAGTAATAGATCTAGTGGGGGGTTTGTGACTTTGCACGATCAAGTCATTAATAAAAGTACATGTTTTAGATATATTGAGTCTATTGTTTAGAGTTATGGTGAAATAGATGGGGTATTATTAGTGGTATTCAAGTTGGATGGTTGAAGTGGAGGAATGCATCGGGCTTGTTGTGTGATAGAAAATTACCACTCAAAATTTAAGGGAAAATTCTATAAGATGGTGGTTAGACCTGTAATGCTTTACGGCGCAGAATGTTGGCCATCAAAAGTAAAGCATAATATTAAGTTAAGTGTTGCAGAGATGAGGATGCTCAGTTGGATGTGTGGCTTTACTCTTAGAGACATGGTACAAAATGGGCATATACATGAAAAGGATGGAGTAACTCCAGTGGCACATAAGATTAGAGAGAGTCGACTTAGATGGTTTGCTCACATAAAACTGCGGCCTTCTGATGACCCAATTATGAGAGTAGATATATTAGATTTGACCTATGTTAAGAAAAGTAGAGGTAGACCTAAAAAGACTTTGTTAGAAAATATTAAAAATGACATTTCTTTATTAGATCTAAATGAGAATTTAATTCTTAAAAGGACACAATGGTGAAAAAGGATTCATGTAGCCAACCCCATGTAGTAGGATAAAAGCTTGATGATGTGGTTGTTAATATTGTTGGAAGAATAATTAGATCTTGGTATTAAAGGTTTTAAGTATGTTGAATTTATTATACATAATATTATTAATATAGATTATGATATTCTTACAAATTTAAAGTTGATATAAAATCACATTAGGAGTAATACAATACAGGAGAATGTAGCGGAGACTTGAAGATACGTTTCTATATGATTGCAACATAACCAACCATTTTATATAAATTTGAGTTTTGGTAGCAAATTAATCAATGATTGATAAATAAGTATAGAAATAAGCTAACTAAGGTGGACATGTGGTAAAATAGTTTTTAGTACAAAAAAATTTAATTAAAAAAAATTTATATGAAAAAATAACTTTAAAAAGCAATAAGAAAGCTGTCCCAAACGAAGCCTAATAATGATTGTATTAGAAATATTTTAGTAGCAATAGTTATTAAAGATATTTAAGAGGCTCGTAAGGAATCTAAGCAAGCAATATGCGATACAAAAATCTTAGCTTTTAGTGATTTATATAATAGATTAGATACTAAGGAGGGAGAAATATATATGTATAAATTAGCCAAACAAAGAGATAAGAGTAGTAAGGATTTAGTTAAAGTGAAGTGTATTAAGGATGTAGATGAAAAAATACTTTTCTTAGAAGATGATATTTAACAAAGGTGGATGAGATATTTTGCTAAATTTTTTAATGAAGATTATGAAAATAAGATTGACTGTAGTGACCTTAGCACCCTAAATAAAAATAATGATTTCTGTTTTTAGCGGCGTACTAGTAAAATCGAAGTTAGAGATGCTTTAAAGAAAATGAAGGGTGGAAAAGCTGTTGGATCTGATGATATTTTAATAGAGGCGTGGAAATGCTTAGGAGATGAAGGAAATTCTTGGTTTACTAAACTTTTTAATACTATTTTGAAGACTAAAAAGATGCCAGATGAGTAGAGAATGAGTGTGTTAATTCCTATTTTTAAGAATAAAGGTGATGCACATAATTGTGCGAATTATAGAGGAATTAAGTTAATGTGTCATACTTTAAAACTATGGGAGCGAGTTATGGAGCATAGGTTGCGGCGTGATACTAATGTTTCTCAAAATCAATTTGGATTCATGCCGGGTAGGTCGACTATGGAAGCCATACATTTATTAAGAGGTTTGATGGAGAAATATAGAGAAAATAAAGAGGATCTACATATGATATTTATTGATTTAGAAAAAACATATGATAAAGTTCCAAGAGAAGTCCTATG